GGGCCCGGCTGCCCCAGGCCTGGCTGCTCCGAGCCTGGAAGCTCCCGGCCTGGATGCTCCGGGCTTGGCTGCTGATGTTCTGGGTCTGGCTGCTCCCGACCCAGGCCTGGGTGTTCCTGGACTGGCCACCCTGGGCTTGGCCGCCTCCATCTCAGGCCTGGCTGCCAGTGCCCCAGGTCTGGCTGCTCCAGGCCTGGCTGTTGCTGCTCTGGTTCTGACTGCTGCTGCTCTGGGGACTGGCTGTTGCTGCTCCAGGCCTGGCAGCCACTGAGAATGGCAGAATTCTTGAGTAATCTTTTTCTGCAATGGCAGAATGGAATAGACATAGCAAAAGGTGGCCTTGGAGTCAGAAAGTATTGTGTTAAATCGGTACCTTTGTGGCCTTAGACAAACAACATCCTCTCTGGGTGCTAGTTTCCTCACTGTTGGGTTATTTTGAGGATCAAATGAATAATGGGTCTAAAGCAGCAGTCACCAACCTTTCGGACCTTGTGGACCACCAGTTGGCGACCACTGGTCTTAAGTGCCTAGTCTTTGGTTTGGCACAAACTGGCTCCATAAACGGTAGCAGTTATTATTTTTACACATCTGTATTCTTTCTAGATTTAAAAAGTACTGAACATGTAGTACTTTATAATCAGATACAATACAGCAGTAACAAGAACAGTATATTCTTGCTGATAGAAGTATTTTACATCCCCAGGTTGGTGTGTGCAGTTTGCAGACTCTTCCCTGACTCCAAGGATAGGCCCAAAGACTAAATACTTAGGAGCCATTGCAATGGGGTAGGGTGGGCTGGGCAGTGGGTCCTGGTCCTGGCCTGGGGGTGAGGGGGCTGGGCAGAAGGTGAACTGCAGCCCTGGCTTTAGAGGTGCTGAGCCCCCCTTCTGTCTGCCTAGGACGCAATGAGCCCCTGAAGAAGGAGCGGCTAAAGTGGAAGAGCGACTACCCCATGACGGACGGGCAGCTACGGAGCAAGCGGGATGAGTTCTGGGACACAGCACCTGCCTTCGAGGGCCGCAAGGAGATCTGGGACGCCCTCAAGGCTGCCGCCTATGCGGCTGAGGCCAACGACCACGAGCTGGCTCAGGCCATCCTGGATGGAGCCAGCATCACCCTGCCGCATGGTGAGCGCCAGGGTCGGGCCTGGTGGGTGGCGGGGTGACCATCCACTTGTTCATTCAGCAATCCTTATGGGCAGGACCAGGAGTGAGGGCACAAAGAAAAATGAGACACAGGCCCTGTTTGCCCAATGAGGGAGTGGAAAGGCACCAGCAAACCTCCAGTGTGATGAGGGCAGGCTAAGGATTACTCAGGTGCTCTGAGACCCCTGAACACCTAAGGGACCAACCTTCTGTTGAGTACTTATGTGCTGAGCACCAAACTAGAAGCTTCTGCATTTACATTCATAACAGCCCGTGGGACTGTGTAAAGAGGGGGTAACGTAGAACTCTATAGAGTCTTTGACCTAGGTTTAATGTGAGCGTTCCCTGCTTTGTGACCTTGAGCTAGGAGCTTCTCGAATTTCAAGCCGTAGTGACTTTAAGTTGGTATATCTACTTCATGGGCTGGTTGTTAGGATTCAGTGAGCTACCCTAACATCAGTTAGTCTAGTCCTAGCACTTAGTAGGTGCTCAGGGCACAATAAATGTATTTCTACCTGCAGTACATTGTACAAGCAAGGAAATTGAGGCTCATTAGGTATAACACCACCCCCTCGCACCCCCAGTCAAGACACGAAGAGCAGGGCCTGTACTGTTTTATTAATTCTTATAAACCCAGCACCCAGCACATTTGCTCAGGAATGTTGTTGAATAAACAAATGGAAAATTAAATAATTTGCCAGGATTGTACAAACAGGATTGGCCAGCCAGGTCTTCCTGACTCTACCTTGAGCTCCTTCCAAGCTCACTCAGAGACACATGACTGAAGGGTGAGTTTGGGACTGTGGGTGGCCATGACAAATGTATTAGTCTGCTTGGGATGCTATAACAAAATATCATAGACTGAATGGTTTATTAAACAACAAATGTATTTCTCAGAGTTCTTGAGGCTGGGAAGTTCAAGACCAAGGTGCGAGGTAGAATCAGTTTTAGGCAAGAGCTCTCTTCCTGGCTTGTAGACAGCCGCCTGCTTGCATTGTCCTTACATGGGAGAGAGAGAGAGAGAGAGAGAGAGAGAGAGAGAGAGAGAGAGAGAGAGAGAGAGAAGTGGGGGAGGATTCTTGTGTCTCTTATAATGATACTAATTCTGCCAGATCAGGGTCCCTCCCAAATTATCTCGTTTCACTTTAATTACTCTCATATAGGCCCCTATCTCCAAATACAGTGACATTGGGTTTAGAACTTCAACATACGGATTTTTTGTGGAGATATAATCCAGCCCCCAAGCCGACTCTGACAGCCCTGTCTCCCCCAGGCACTCTCTGTGAATGCTACGATGAGCTGGGCAATCGCTACCAGCTTCCCATCTACTGCCTGTCGCCACCTGTGAACCTGCTGCTGGAGCACACCGAGGAGGAGAGCGTGGAGCCCCCGGAGCCCACGCCCAGCGTCCGCCGTGAGTTCCCGCTGAAGGTGCGCCTCTCCACGGGCAAGGACGTGAGGCTCAGCGCCAGCCTGCCCGACACAGTGGGGCAGCTCAAGAGGCAGCTGCACGCCCAGGAGGGCATCGAGCCGTCCTGGCAGCGATGGTTCTTCTCTGGGAAACTGCTCACAGACCGCACGCGGCTCCAGGAAACCAAGATCCAGAAAGATTTTGTCATCCAGGTCATCATCAACCAGCCCCCACCACCCCAGGACTGAGGAGCCTACGGACCCCTGGGCAGCAAGGCCAGGGAGGGCCTCTGGGGGCTGAGCACCAGGCCCCTCCCTGCTGCTGCCTTTGAGGGCTGATATTTTCCTGAGGGGTGCCTCCCTGCTGTGTGGCTGCTAGGCGAGCCGTAAAAGGGACCTGCCTCCCAGAGCCCCCGGGGCCCCCAGTGCCCAGCACCCAGGAAGCAGTGCTGCCACCAGGCCTTGCCAACCTTGTCAGAGAAAAGGAAAACTGGGGCCCTCCACCTGCCCATCTCCAACAGCAGGTTCGAGCCACGAGGGCCAGCTGGAGGCCCCTGAAGCCCAGATCATCTGGTGCTTCCAGCTGTGCTCACTCGGTTTTCTGCTCAGGGTCTGAAGCAGCTGCTGTCTCCCTCCCCTGCCCCTGTCCCCTGACTCTGCCTGGGCACAGTGCCAGTGCCCTGGAGGGGAGGGGACTGCTCATGAGCCCCAGGAGCTGGGAGCCTGAGGCCAGCCTTTGCCTCTCCTGCCCCCAGCACAATTGGCAGAGAGGAGGCGGTTGGCCGGACAGCTGGGCTGCTGTGGCGGAGGTCTGCACTGGGCATCTGCTGGCTGTAACCCAATCGATGGGGTGCCTGCAGCCAGTCATGGTCCCACAGCAGTCCCTGTGTACAGACATATCTGCATATTTATCAATAAAGCCTTTTGCTCCTTCCTTCTCTCTTGCCTGGCTATGACTTTGGGTTCCCTGCAGCTCTGTGGAAACTGGGAACCGGTTCTGGTGTGGGAGAAGGTGGGCCCGGCCCCCAGCGGCTCAGGGTGCAGCAGAGAGTGCAGAGGAGCAAGCTTTGAACACTAGCGGCTGGGCCCTGTGTGCTCAGGGGCCTTCAGGAAGAGCCACTCAGCCTCTGAATCCACTTTGCTTACCTTTCAAGTGGATGCGATGCCACCTGCCCTGCCTCCTCCCTCAGTTGCTGGGAGGATCAGTGGGCTAACAGATGTGAAGAAGGCAGCATCTCAGGAAGGTGGCGTTAGGTACCTGTCGGTCTGTTTCTGCAGCAGGAGGGTGCTGGCTTCTGGCTCCAGCCTGAGCCAGACCCTCGGGACTAAGGTGTGTGCGATCCTGGAAACGCTACTCACTTGCTGATGTTAAAGCAAATTTCTGACAAACTTAGAGCATGTGTTGGCTTGCCAGCAAGGGGACGAGAGACAAAAGGGAGCTGTTCCTGTGCATCCTTAGGGGAAAGTGTGCAGATAAGCAGAGAGGGCAATCTTGGATAAGGTGGTCTAGCTAAGGACAGGCCACGTAGGTGTTACAGAACCTCAGAGCTGTGGAGTCCATGGCCCTTAAACATGGGGCTGAGCAGGCTCAGGCTGCTGCTTCAGTTGAGAGTGTTTTTCTTTTTCAGTGAGCATGGCTTGTCCCCAGTCAGGGAGGCCTGACAGGAAATAGGAGAGAAGGACGGTCAGTCTGAGCTGGTGGTCATCTGAGCTTGGCGATGTACTCTGGCCCTCCCACTGGCTTCCTGAGACCCTTACTGAAGGGAGACCCTGTACCTCCTGCAGAGGCCCCCTGAAACAGCCGGATCAGGAACTAAGGAACATACAGCCAAGTGCTGGGGTATTCTGCCAGGGGGCACTGTGGGACCCCAGAGAGGCAAAGGCCTGAAGGAACCGTGCACAGAGGGAGGCAGCTGCCTTGACTCCCCCAGCCGGGATGAAACGTCAGCCGGGATGAAGCGTCTGCCCCTTTCCAGAGCCAGCAGGGCCTGAATACAGGACAGCCCAGGACACAGGACTCTCTTGAGTCCCCACTTGGGCTTTTGGGCCCCCTGATTAGCACTGGCTGGGCACAGTTTTCAGGCGCCCAGCAGGTGGCACTGTCATCAGGGCTAGAGACAGCCAGTGGACCCTTCCTGCAGCCCAGCTGGCCTGGCTGAGCACCAGCTGGGCCTAAGCACTCATGGTAAAAGCTGAGCAGGCTCCTTCCTGCAGCCCCTGCTCTCGGGGTCTGTGACCTCCAGCTCTCATAGGTCGTGGTTTGTAGGGGGCAGCTGTCCTTGCCTGCCCTGCTCTCTCCGGCTACCCAGGGTGAAGGTGGCGGGGGCAGGGAGGGGGGCAGGTGGAGAATTGAGCCGGTGAGCTCATGGCAAAGGCGCCCAGCAGGGCGGGGGTGGGTGCCCTGGTCTATAAAGCCCCCATGGCTCTTGGCCTGCAGAAGCGGGTATGGACAGCACCATGGCGGGCTCCGAGGCGCTACAGAGCGCCACAGCGCTTATTGAGGAGCGGCTGGCACAGGAGGAGGAGAATGAGGTATGGGCAGAGGTGTGTGTGCCCAGAGGGGTTCTGAGGGATCCAGCTCTTCTGTCAACGGAAGGAAGAGGCTGGCTGCCACGCCTGTGGTGAAGGAGGACAGGTATCCCTAGGGCTCCATTCCAGCCAGAGGGTCTCCTGGTGGAGAGGGCTTGAGGTATCAGCCCTAAGAACTGAGGGACAGTGGGGCGAATGAGCCAAGCTGGGCTCCCCGAGACCCTGCCCATGCACCTGGGCCTTGAGATAAGCTGGCTGCATAGAATGAGAGCTGGGAAGCTGCCTGGGGATGCGGGGTGTGGGTCCCTGAAGTCCCCCAGTTTCTGGGCTGGAGATTGAGACAGGAGGAACTCCATGCTGGTCACTGAAGAAGAATAAAGACGGGGAGCAGAGGGAGAAAGGAAGCAGGGGTCTCCCCAGGACTGCCAGCCACACCTGGAGAGGCCGTGGGAGCATGGGGCTCTGGGCAATTGCATTTTCTTATAAAGAAATGGGGGCTGGGGGGGAATGTGCCAGCTTGTCTTGCTTTTTTTTTATTTTTTATTATTGTCTAAAGTTTTACATATGTCTCTTTTTCCCCCAATTGACATCCTCTCCAGCCATTCCCACCCCTAGGCAAGCCCTCACTACCCAGTTCTGTGGCCATTGGTTATGCTAATATGCATGCATTGCTTTTCATTTTATTTAAACCAATACTTGGCCTAGAGTCTGCTCTGCCAAGTGCGAAGTGCTGTGAGAACTGAGAGGACCTGTAAGGCCAGTCCCTGCCTCCTTTTTACCAGCCTGCATTCCTTTTAGCCAATACCTGTCAGGGGCACAGTCTACTAAGGAACAAAGCAGAGTGAGGGAGTGTGGAATAGCGGTGTTAAGCCAGGAAGAAGTGAAGGAGCAAAAGGGCGGATGAGTCATTGCAACCTTAGGCCCTCAGGGACTTCGCTGTGGACAGGATGGCATTTGAGCTGGGTCTTCAAGAATGGTGAGAGGAGATCAGGAGTTGGAAGGGTATTCCAGGCTGAGGAAAAGACAGACACTGAAGCTTAGATAGGTGAGAGCATGACTGTTATTAGAAATTCTGGTAGCAGGGGCTAAGACTGGGAAGGGAAGCAGGAAAGAAACCAGAGGGCACGTGTGAAAGGTATTCTGTGGGCAATGTTGTTGAGTGAGAGAGGGTGGTGCCATCTGATCTACTTTGGGAAGGCAGCTCAAAGTCCTAAGAAGGACTTGTTGGAAGAGGAAAGACTGGCCCTAACAGGAATGGGAGGGAGAAGACAGATCAGCTTAGAGGTAGACTCCATTCAAAAGAAGAAGAGTGACAAATGGGGTGAGGGTGAGGGAAGGATCAGGGCCCCAGTGGAAGAAGAGAGATGAGGGCTAAGGAAGGGAGGGAAGGCTTGTAAGTGAAGAGTTTGGACTGAGCCTTCTGAGTCTTGGCCTGGGCATCCCTGGAAGTCCAGTAATGCCATTTCTCACTCTCCCAAGGGCCTGTGCATCAGTGCCAGGCAGGTGAATCATGCCACGGTGCCATTTTTGGAATGCTGGATACAAAGGCCTTCATCAAAGGGACATGGGGCAGTCCTCATCCATTCATTCATACCACAAATATAGCAGCAGGGCTCTCGGGACACTGGGTGCCCGCAGAGCCAGCCTTCCCTTGGAGTCTAGTAGCTCAACAAGTGCCGGCTACTCTGCTACCAGTAAGCAGTGCACAGGCACTCACTCTCCCATTCAATCTGTGCAGCCATCCATGGAGTGAAGCGGAAGTTTTGTTGTGCTTCACGCACCAGCATCCAGTGCAAAGGCATTTATTGAGCACCTGCTGCATGCCAGCTCACAAAGACAATCTGACGCTAGGGGCCATAGCGTCTGGGTAAGACACGGATGAACATTAGAGTCCTCAGTTGTTCCCACCAGCCCCAAGCCCAGCAGGGTCCTCAGAGGAGAGCCTCTGTCCAGTCTGTGCCCCCTTCTTGGGGTGGGAGGGGAAAAGGTCCTGAGAACCCGCCCAGGAATGAGGCTCCGTTGTGGGACACTTACTGGGGCAGGTCATCACTGAGGACTGAGGGGTGGACAGAGATGCTGAGCCCACCTGCCATCATCCATTCACTCGTTCATTCATTTATCCTCTAAACCAGGAATGGGGAATATCCGGCCCATGGGCCATGAAATCATTTGGTCTGGCTCTGCCAAGGCATTAGGGGAATGAGTTAATTAAATGTTTGACCAAATATAGAAGGCTCATTTTTTAAGGTAATAATTTTGTATGGCCCAGAATGATGTCATAAATATCCAAAGGGCCCTTGGCAGGAAAAATGTTTCCCATGTTCACTGAGCACCTACCATGTGCTAGGCCTTGTCACAGGTGCAGGGGGTACCACGATGATTAGAATCCAAGCCCACGCTCTGGCTGCTCCATGCAACCCCAGCCAGAGCCCCACATACAGGAGTAGCTGCAGCACGCTGTCACCCCTTGGCCCTGGGAGAGGAAGCAGAGTTTCAGGAGAGGCCAGCACTGGGGATACCTCAAACAACACAAATCTGACGTGGAAGAGAGAAGCCCATGGACTACGGGACCTCCAAAATAAAGACCTGGGAAATCAGAACCATCCTTGGCAAGTGAGACAGCAGAACTCAGCTGAGAGCTCTGTAAGGGTGGCCATTCCTCCCAGCCTGCCATCTTGACCAGCGCCCTCCCACCTGGGCGAATGTTCTCGGAGCGCTGGAACCTCAGAGATGGGGGCCAGCTCTTCACAAAGAATGCTTTTCCTTAAGAGGGAAGAAGGAAGTAGGCAGGCAGGTAGGTCAGAGCTACCAATGGAGAGGAGACTGGGAAGGGGTTTCACCTGTATTTTTACAATGAAAATAAGGTTACTAGAGTCTACGTCAGCTGACTCTCATCCCTTATGTTCCCTGAGAGCAACAGTTTCTATGCTTTAGGATTTCATGGACCAGTAAAATCTGAGGGGGGAAAGGGTTGGTATCTGACATAGATTTGCAAATTTTTTATATCGCCAAGTAAGCCATTTAAAAAATAACCATCATCTCTCATCACATTGTTTCATCAAAGTAAATTTTTATGGCATAAAGAAGCTTAAAAAATAATCTCACTGCTTGAAAAAGTTAATATACTAGGTGTACCGGTTAATAATGCAGATTTTTTTCAATAGGTGGAGTTACATATATGTTGATATGTATGCGATTTGATATGCATGCTATTTTGTTGTATTGACAACAAGCTTCAAAACTTCACATGTCAAATTTTCTGAAGGTGTTAACATCATAGATATTTTTACACTTAAAAATGTCAAATTTTGTGTCAAAAAAAAGAGTGTTTGCAGGAAGGATTAATTCATTATTTTGAAGAAAAGTGTTGTTGAAAGTTATCGTATACTTCGGGAAGCTTATAGTGAACATGCTCCATCTCCAGATACTTGTGTACGCTGGTTTAAAAGCTTTAAAAGTGATTATTTCGATGTGAAAGACAAAGAACGTCCAGGGCAACCAAAGAAGTTTGAAGACCAACCATTACAAGCATTATTGGGTGAAGATGTGTGTCAAACTCAAAAACAACTGGCAGAAAGATTAAACGTTGCTCAGCAAACAATTTCCAGTCATTTACAAGCAATGGGAAAGATTTTAAAGGAAGGAAAATGGGTGTCACATCAACTGAACGAAAGACAAATGGAAAAGCGAAAAGTCATCAGTACAATGTTGCTTCAACTGCACGAAAGAAAGTCTTTTTTGCATTGAATTGTGATTGGCAATGAAGAGTGGATTTATTTTGAGAATCCCAAATCACACAATCATGGATTGATCCAGGTCAGCCATCAACATCGACTGCAAGGCCAAATTGCTTCAGAAAGAAAACAATGCTCTGAGTTTGGTGGGATCAGGAAGGTGTGGTGTATTATGAGCTAAAACCAGGTGAAACCGTTAATACTGATCGCTACTGACAACAAATAATCCATTTGTTCAATTAAAACTTCCTGCAAACACTCTTTTTTTTTGGCACAAAATTTGACATTTTTAAGCGTAAAAATATCTATGATGTTAACACCTTCAGAAAATGTGACATATTGAAGTTTTGAAGTTTGTTGTCAGTACAACAAAATAGCATGCATATCAAATTGCATATATATCAACACTAGAGGCCCAGTGCATGAAATTTGTACATGGGGGGCAGGGGTCCCTCAGCCTGGCCTGCACCCTCTCCAATTCTGTACCCCTCAGGGAATGTCTGACTGCCTCTCACAATCCAGGACTGCTGGGGCCTAACCACTCACCTTCCTGCCTGCCTGATCGCCCCTAACTGCTCCTCTGCTGGCCTGATCCCCCCTACCCGCCTCTGCCTTGCCCCACACCCAGGACCCAGGCTTCCTTCCTTTGGCTGGCTACAGGCATCCAGGACCCAGGCTGGCTTCCCCCTGGGCTGGCCACAGCCACAGGGGACCATGGACGGCAGCTTTGCCTGGGACTGTGGGGTGGGTGGTTTGTCCCTCTCCTGGGCCACAGCCTGGCTAGTCCCCATTCCTCTCTCAGGCGCTCACTTGTGCCTGGCTGGTCCCCATTCCTCTCTTGTTGAGTGAGCTGTTAATGCATGACAGTGTGAGGGTGTGACAACCATTTGCATGTTAGCTCTTTATTATATAGGATCTGTGTAACTCCATCTATTGAAAAAAAATCCACATTATTAATTGGTACACAGTATTTAGTTTTATGAAAATTCATTTTAATAGCTTTTAATTTTGTTTGGTTGGGGACTTGGGGCCATCATTGGGCAGGAGTTAGAGATGGAGCTGGGATTGGGGTTGGGTTTGGGGTTGAGGTGGGGAACTGAAACTGGCCCCCTTTTTTGGATGGGTCTCTCCAGGAGCCCGCTCCTGCCAGGGGCCTCCAGGACCAGTCAAGAAAGGGCTCTGAGGCCACACAGGAGGAGGTCTTTGGAGCATGTCCTCGGAGTGGTTAGGGGAGAGGCCACCTTCTCCCGGACTCTGCAGGCAGGTCTTGTCCTTGGCTTATCAGAAACTCCGAGGATCCACCCACCAGAAGCTGGCCATGGACATGCTGGCACTGGAGGAAGAGAAGCACCACGGGGCTGCAAACCTGGCCCTACAGAAGGTTAAGGTGAGTGGGAGGAGAAGCCAGTGTCTGTGCTCAGGAGACAAGCCGGGCAGTTATGGCCTAGCTCCTTCTGGTGTGGTCCTTGAACCCCCTGGAAGCATATTAGCAATGAGCATGCATGTCAACACCCCACCCGGACCTGCTGAGTCAGAATCTGCACATGTACAGACCCCGGGGGAGCCCGGAGAAGGGAGAGTCACATGACAGGCACCATGCAGGCATGAGGGGGCTGAGGGAGGCTGTGTGTGCTGACAGGAGAGATCTCCTTGCTGATGAGAGAAACCGGTTTCCAGACCACTGTGTGCAGGATGACCCCATAGGAGGCGTGTCTGAAAGGGCATTGACGGAGCCACCGGAGGTTACCGCTGGGAGAGAAGGGCTTTCTCTTCAAAACTTTATGTTTCTATATTACTTTTATTTTTACAAATGTTTTGATTGATTTTTAGAGAGAGAAAGGGAGAGAGGGAGAGATGGAAACATCAATGAGAGAGAAGCATTGATCAGCTGCCTCCTACACACTCCCTACTGGGGATCCAGCCCACAAGCCTGGCATATGCCCTGATTGGGAATTGAACCTGGGACCTCTTGATCCGTGGGAAGATGCTCAACAACTGAGCCACACCTGAGGGGCATATTTAAAAATATATATATTTGATTGATTGTTTTACAGAGAGGAAGGGAGAGAGAGAAACATCAGTGAGAGAGAAACATCCATCAGCTGCCTCCTGCACACCCCCCACCGGGGATGTGCCCGCAACCAAGATACATGACATGCCCTTGACCGGAATCCAACCTGGGACCCTTCAGTCCGCAGGCCCATGCTCTATCCACTGAGCCAAACCGGTTTCATCCTGAGGGGCATATTTTTAATATTAGTCATCTGTTACTTTTATGGTCACACACGAGTGGAATTGCAGGGGAAGTGGAGGATCCGGACTCTGTTCTAAGGCCTGGGCTACGAATTACCTTTGAGATTCCCTCCTCATCAGCTCCCCCACCCACCCCACATTCCTGCCCACGGTGAGGCCTTCCAGGCAGCTCCCTCAAGCCTCCCTTGCCTGCTGACCTGAGCCACCTGAGCCACCCGCTGACTGAGCCACCTGTCACCCACTTTTGTGCTCCCCGGAAGGAGAGCTAGACTTGGCTCCTTTCCCTGGTGAAGGCTCTCCCTGTCCTCCCCCTCCAGCTTAGCCCAGGGGTCCCCACGCTCCTGGCCTGGGGCTGACGGGCCCTCCCCACCCAGGGCCAGGAGCGTGTGCGCAAGACGTCCCTAGACCTGCGGCGGGAGATCATCGAGGTGGGCGGCATCCAGAACCTCATCGAGCTGCGGAAGAAGCGGAAGCAGAAGAAGCGGGCGGCCCTGTTGGCCCAGGAGCCGCCTCAGGAGCCTGAGGAGATCGTAAGCTCCCGGGGGACACCTGTGTGGGCCGGGGAGCCCCGGGGGCCCGGGTCACTGCGGGGCGGCCCTGGGTGATGGCACTTTCCCTCCCAGACTGGCCCCGTGGAGGAGGAGACGTTCCTGAAAGCCGCCGTGGAAGGGAACATGAAGGTCATCGAGAAGTTCCTGGCCGATGGGGGCTCCCCGGACACCTGCGACCAGGTAGGCGATGCTCTCACCACCCCTTCACTGCGCCTTCCTCGGGCGGGCCCATTTGAGAACAGGCACTGGGTGTCCTTTGGGAGGGGTGTCCTCAGGAGATTTGGGATGGTCCTTCTCACACAGGATTTATCTAAATCCTTGGGTCCTTTTCTTTTCTTTCTTTTCTTTTCTTTTTCTTTCTTTTTTTTTTTTTTAATATATTTTATTGACTTTTTACAGAGAGGAAGGGAGACAGAGAGCCAGAAACATCGACCAGCAGCTTCCTGCACACCCCCCACTGGGGATGTGCTGGCAACCAACATGCCCTTGACTGGAATTGAACCCGGGACCTTTCAGTCCGCAGGGCCCTCCCCACCCAGGGCCAGGAGCGTGTGCGCAAGACGTCCCTAGCTGATGCTCTATCCACTGAGCCAAACTGGTTTTGGCCCTTGGGCCCTTTTCAACGTGAACCCCATCCAGACTACCGAGTGTCACGTGGTTCTTTGGGGACGAAGGAATGGGATCAGATAAAAAGAATGCCTCTCTCTGGCTATGTGACCTGTCATTAGGCCCCTCCCCACTCCATGCCTCAGTTTCCTCCTCTGTGAAACAGCCTGCTTCCCTCAGAGCACATTATGGGGGTCCAATGGAACAATAGTGCTTAGATAAGCATTTACCGAACAAATGAAAAAACTATAAAACTCATGTGAGGGTATATCATACTTCTTTAATTTTCTATTTTATTGTGATAAAATATATATAACACGGGCTATGCCGTTTCAGCCATTTTAAGGGTACGATTCAGCTGCATAGATTGCATTTATAATGCGGTGAAAACATCAGCACTATTTTCTGTTTCCACCACCTACCATATTTTTTGTTTGTTTGTTTCCTTGAAACAGCCTCTTCTTCACTTTAAGCAAATTAACGAGCCTGCATTATTGTCGGCTTAGACTACACGTGTGTTCTATTCTTCAGAAGCCAGAGTCTTATTCCTCTTGTTCTATCTGAGCATCTCCTTCCTCAGTATTGTGCTAGGTACTGGGGTACAAAAAAGAAAAAGACGAGCCCCAACTGGTTTAGCTCAGTGAATAGAGCGTTGGTCTGCGGACTCAAGGGTCAGTCCCGGGTTCAATTCCGGTCAGGGGCATGTACCTTGGTTGTGGGCATATCCCCAGTAGGGGAGTGTGCAGGACGCAGCTGATCGATGTTTCTCTCTCTCATCGATGTTTCTAACTCTCTATCCCTCTCTCTTCCTCTCCGTAAACAAGTCAATAAAATATGTTTAAAAAAGAAAAGAAAAAGAAAAAGATGAGGGTTAAGAGTAGATGTTTCAAGAGACCAAAGCAGAAAGCCAACTGCCTTGGGAAGGGAGGAAGTGCATCCTTTCCTTGAGTCAGTAATCAGGGTGCACCTGCCCCCCCTCTCCGGCCCTGAGCTAGGCACGGGGCTTGGGGGGGGGGGGCGGGACAGAGCCAAGAGAGCCTCAGCTGGCTGCAAACATTTTCCCTGCTGGAGGGTTTCTGGGAATCTGGACAGTCCTGGCCTAGAGGTTCCAAGAAGATGATGGTACTTGAGCTACATCTTGAAGGAACAGCCAGAATCCATTAAGCGCTCAAGGGGGTGAGGGCATAATGGGCACTCTGGCCCAGGGAAGAGCCCGTGCAAAGGCCTGGCTTCCTGTGCTCAGGGCAGTGAGAAGGACGGAGTCTGCAGGGCAGAGGAGGGAGTCTGGATAGAGCACAAGGAGCTGGCAAGCATGGACAATATGGGGACCCAGCACAAGGGTCAGAATCAAGCTGGGCGGAGGCCTCAGCCTCAGCTTGTGTGGGAGGTGGGCTCGGGCTTGGGCCAGGGCTCAGGCCCTGACAGTCTCTGTGGGGACAGTTCCGCAGGACAGCACTGCACCGCGCTTCCCTGGAGGGCCACATGGAGATCCTGGAGAAGCTGCTGGAGAGCGGGGCCACTGTGGACTTCCAGGATCGGGTGAGCAAGAGGGCAGGTGCTGGGTGGGAGGCTGGAGGGGGCCCTCTGTGGGCCACCCTGGGACACAAACGGGCTGCCTCGGGGCCCAGGCCCCACCTTTAGTGGCTGGTATGGCCTTGGGCAGCCCCATCTCCTCTTCTGCAAATCTGTCTCTGACTAGATGGGTCCCAGGGATTCTTACGTTCTGCTTGGTCCATTGCCCAGGCACAGGAGTGCCCCTTCCCTCCCCTGTGCCCTTCTCCTGGATACTCCCTCCCTTCTGGGTGGGCCCTTTCCCCCAGGGCACTGTCTTCTCGGAAGCTCTGCCATTAGGCCCCGTCCTGCCCTTCTAGCTGGATTGCACAGCCATGCATTGGGCCTGCCGCGGGGGCCGCCTGGAGGTGGTGAAACTCCTGCAAAGCCGAGGAGCAGACACCAATATGAGAGATAAGGTGAGGCGATGGTGCTCACAGGTATTGGGGAGTGGGAGGCGAAGGGCAGAAAAGCCAGGGAAGCTGTGAACAAGTCTCGTTTCCGGATTGGCTGCAGAGCCCAGGGATGGATTGTGTCCATCAAATGCAGGTCCCTGGAAGCCATCATCTGGGGACGGGAGCAGGAAGAGCAGAGGAGAGGGCGGGAGAAGAGATTCGCTGTTTTGGGAACTTTGGGACCACCCAAAAGATACAGGATTTGTTCATCTATGCACTTTCATCATCCTTCTATCTATCCACCTCTCCATCCATCCATCCATCCATCCATCCATCCATCCTTTTTAAAATTTATTCTTTGAATGTAACCTTGAGCGAATAATATAGCCTCTGAACCTGTTGCTTATCTGTAAAATGTCTTGCAGAGTTCTTGTATAGATTAGGTGGGAAATGAAAGTAAATTACTTGTTAATCTTAAGTCTAATGTTTGATAAGCTTTTGCCATGCCCATTACATAGTCATCCGTCCATAAGTGACATCTAGTGTAATCACTAAAAGAAGGGCAGAGGAGTGAGCAGCTGCTGGTAGCTGGGCGGGCGGGGAATCATGGAAGGCTTCCCGGAGAGGACGGTACGTGGTGCTTCAGAGCCAGACCACTGGGCAGGACGGGGAGAACTGGAGCATTCCCTGCCCCTGCAGGGCTCAGGCCCTGGCTTGAGGATCGGGGGAGGAACAGGCTGCCATTAAGACCACCCCCTTCCCAGAGCCACACAGGCCAGGCCCCTTCCGCCAATAGTTCCTGCTTCCCCCTCCGTAGCTGCTGAGCACGCCCCTGCACGTGGCGGTTCGCACTGGGCATGTGGAGATCGTGGAGCACTTCCTGACCCTGGGCCAGGACATCAACGCCCAAGACAGAGTGAGTGTCTGGGCTCTCCCCTGCCCGGCCCCTCCACAGGGGGGCAGGCAGCTTGGGGGCTCCCGCATGCCCATGTGGGCGCTGCTGAGTGTCACTCCGGCTCTAGGAAGGGGACAGTGCCCTGCATGACGCCGTGAGGCTCAACCGCTACAGGATCATCAAACTGCTGCTCCTGCACGGGGCCGACATGATGGCCAAGAACCTGGTAAGCTCATCCCTTCCCGATTCAGCAGTTAGTGTGCAGGACCCCCCCCTCCCCCCCCCCTCCCCTAGGCCCCGACTGAGCTGTCAGAGGACACGGAACCCAGCACGACTCAGCCCACCTGCCCTGGAGCTCTTTCCTGGCCCGAATCCCGGACGGTCAGAGCTGGAAGAGCCTAAGCCCTCGGTGGGCATGCCCGTTCCTGGCACGCCATGCTGGTTCCTGATGGCCCTTTAGTGCTCTTCACACCCTTCTTTGGGATTCAGAGCAATCACAGAATGGAGGAGAAAGCTACGGGGCACAGGAAAGCTAGGAAGGTAGCAGGAGGCATGAACGAGCACATCTCAACCTTGGCATTATTGGCATTCGGGGTCGGCTGCCCTGGGCACAACAGGATGTTGAAGCAGCATCCCTGACCGCTAGGCAAGATGCCAGTAGTACCCACTCCCCATCTACCACCACTGCCACCCCCAGTTGTCTCCAGGCTCTGCCAATGCTCCCTATTGGGAGCCACTGGCGTAGACGAGGGCACCCCCTGGTTCAGACTTCTGAACAGTGGCCCGATCTCCCCTTGGCCCCCCAAGGCTGGAAAGACTCCCACAGACCTGGTGAAGCTGTGGCAAGCCGACACCCGGAACGCTCTGGAGCACCCTGAGCCGGGGTCCGAGCAGGACGGGCTGGAGGCGGCTGCTGAGAGTGGGCGGGAGACCCCCCAGCCTGTGCCAGCCCCGTGACCGCCTCAACGGTCCCCAGACCCGAGCCACTGCTCTGCGGAGACACGAGCACCCACGAGCCACCGCAATAAAAATGTCATTTTGCTATGTGTGATGTGTGCTTCTCTCCGTGCCTGGCATGGTTAGGAATGCAAGAGCTGGGGGCTGTCCGAACTCCGGCCTTTTCCCTTCCCCCAGTCCCTGAGCCAACCCAGCTGCGTCTCCTCCTCTCAGCCTGGAGCAGCTTCACCCCGCACTCGTCCCAGACCACCCCTCCTGTGGCCGCTGGCCCGGGGGGCTGTGCGTGGCCAGCCCAGGCCTGTCCCCTGGAGGCGTCTGGCTGGGAAGTGGGGCAGCCCGGGGACTGTGGATCACCCACACCTGCCACGCCTCCCACCGGGCTCAGCCAATCGGCTCCTCCGACCAAGGCGGAACTGCCAAGCTGAAGCTGGCAGGCTCCTGGCTCTGAGCTGGAAATGGTGGGAGGAGGACTCAGGCCCCACTAGAAACATCTTTTGTCCCAGGATCCCAGGAACCAGGCCTCCGTCCGGCTGTGGCATTCCTCCAGCTGCTCCCCAGGAAGAGGAGGAACCTCTCCCGTCCCTCCCCCCCCCCCACCGCCCCAGGGACCTATAGGCCTAGCCTTCGACCCTGGGGACACCCAGCCCAGCCTGCCCCAGGGCTGACAAGTCAGGGGCAGCCAATTTTTAACTAACACATTGATCATTAACAGGGGCCGGAAGGGGTCCAAACGCAGCCTCCCTTAGGGCCAGAGACTCGCTGGGCCTCAGGCTTCCTGCGGAGATGCTGGGCCCCCGGGTCTGGTCCTCTGTGAGGCAGGGGCTGAGCAGGGGCTTGTCTAGGAGTGTGGGGGGCCGGGCCCCCGGGGAGGGGAGGAAGGTGGACATCGCGGGCATCTATCCCCCTCTCACCACCCCCTTCACCGCCACCTCGGAGGTGGACTATGGGAAACTGGAGGAGAACCTGCAGAAACTGGGCGCCTTCCCCTTCAAAGGTGAGTGGGCCTGTCCGCTGTGGAGCGGGGGGAGACGGGACGGGCCTGGTCCCTTCGGCCTGAAGCCGCAGGGAGGCCCCCCCGGCCTGTCCAGCAGCTGGGGAGCAGTGCAGCGCCGGGGCTCATGTCACTACGGGAGAGGATCTGACAGGCGCACGGGTCTGCAGTCAGGTGGCAGCTCCCTGCCAGCCCGAGACCCTGACCGAGTCTCTGCTGCCTCAGTCCCCATCGCTGTGAACCACTGAAGTGCCATCTGAGCACTCAGCGTTATCACGAGGCTCCGACGAGGTGTTGGGTGTGAAAGTCCTTGTTCACTGGCACTCTGCAGGTGTGAGGGCAGCCAGGTGTCCGGGGGCCGCCCGGCCAGCGGGCTCGGCCCCCGCCAAGCCCTGTTTGCGCTCTCTCTCTGGGTAACGCCTCCCTCGGCCACATTGATTCCCGTTCTGGGTTCTCTGCCTCACTTCCCCTGTGCAGGCAGGTCTCCCCTCTCTGAGGCCGGGGACCAGGTTGTATGAGTGCCACTCGACATACAGCACAGCCACAAGCACAACGAACGGTGATAGACGTGGCAAAGTCCCTCCATCCTGCCCTGCCACCCTCATCCCTAACTTGTGACAGTTCCCCGAGGCAGTCCTCTCTGGAGCCCCCTTTCACAGATGGGAAGACGGGGCTCAGGATGACAGGGTCACCTGCCTAAAGTCACCTACGAGTATGTGGCTGAGCTGGGATTTGAACCCAGGCTCCACTGCACAGCCATGCTGAGCTGCACTCCACAGCACTGCTTGCTAAGTTGCTAGGCAGAGTCTGGTCAGCACCGGATCGAAACCGAGTGGCTCCGACTGAGGCGGTGCGAGGAGCAATTAAGAACATGGACGCCAATAGTTTCCAATCGCTGCTCGGCCGGATTTGAAACTTGAGAAGTTATTACACTGTTACCGACGTAGCTGTGAGCCAGTCTCTCTGAACCCCAGCCCCCCATCTGACACGTGGGAGTAACAGTGGCCATCTCATGGGAGAGATCGGAGAGGATGCAAGTGAAAGCAGGCTGCGGTGGCAGAGCGATACGCTGGAAGGGATTGAGCCCAAGGATCATGATCATTAAGAGGACAGCACGGGGATGAGGGCAGAGCTGCTTTGGGACATGACTGCTGGCCCGAGACCCCATCCATGTCTCCGTCTGAGGTGACTGATCCTTCCTCAGAGGACAACGAGTGCCCTGTGCACGCCCGCTTTGAGCTGTGACACGAACGCTACGTGAATTTCTGCTGGGACGCAGGTCCTGGGGGCCTGGAGGCCTGGGCGGAGGCCTGGTTCTCTTGAAGCAGAGTGAGAAGCGCCTTACATCTCTCAGAGGAGAGAAGGCTCTGCTTCACCTCCCAGGTTCCAGGACGCCTTAGCACAGGAAGGTGGACTCTGCGTCTGATGTCTGCCTGCCACCCAGAGAATCACAGAGACCCCCCCAGGGTCTTCGAACCCTCCCCTCTCCCCCCGACTCCTGCACAGGGCGGGGCAGCGGCCGGGAGCACAGGCTGCCGTGGACTTGGCTGGCATTAGTCCATCTCCCCTGCAGCCCGCCCAGGAGCCGGATCCCACTTTCCCGCTCTCTGACCCCCAACACAAGATGGGGGGAGGGGCAGTGGCTGTGTGGAAAGAGCCCAGCATCTGGAGTTAGGAGACGGGGGAAGAATCCTGGTTCCACCAGTTAACAGCGACCGTGGGAGTTTCCTCAGTTTAGAATGGGAATTGAGCCATGGGGTTCAATGCGTTTCTCCCAAAGAGAAAGAGCTCAAAGAGCCCTGGCTAGTTTGGCTCAGTGGATAGAGCCTCGGCCTGTGGACCGAAGGGTCCCGGGTTCGATTTTCGTCAAGGGCACATGTCTGGGTTGCTGGCTTGATCCCCAATAGGGGGCGTGCAGGAGGCAGCCGATCAATGACTCTCTCATCATTGATGTTTCTATCTCTCCTCCCTTCCTCTCTGAAACACACATATATTTATATATATAAAGAGCTCAAATAGGAGGCCCTAGCACAAGGACCATAGAGCCACGGGGTCCTGTCACTGCTCCCAGGACACGGCCAGATGCCAGGAAGGGAGCAGTGGGCCACTTTTGCTGTGAACTCGGTGTGTCTCTTGCCTGATCCTGGCCCCGCTTTGCAGCTCAACACTCAGGGGCAGAGGGGAGAACCATCACAGTTCTCATTGCCAGGCCCCCCTGCACCATGAAGAAGGCCCCCCAAAGTGGGGAACCTATCCTAGTTAAATCAGTGAACAGCTAGAGATTGTTCTGGAAGGCATGGCTCAAAACCCTGTAGCTTTTTTAAAAATAATTTTTTTATTTTTCTATTACAGTTGGCATACAAATTATACTAGTTGCAGGTGTTCAACTAGTGATTAAGCACTCACATAACTTACGAAGTGATCATCCCAATAAATCTAATACCATACATAGTTATTATACTGCTAGAGGCCCCGTGCATAAAATTTATGAACGGGGCGGGGGGGGGGGTCACCTCAGCCAGCCTGCACCCTCTCCAATCTGGGATCCCTCTCACAATCCAGGACCAGTGTCTCCTGACTGTTAACCTGCCTGTCTGCCTGCCTGATTGCCCCTAACTTCCACCCTGCTGGCCTTGGTCACCCCCAATTGCCTCTTCCACTGGCCTGGTTGCCCTCAGCTGCCCCCGCTTCCCTGCCAGCCTGGTTGCCCTCCTTCCCCCCCTGCTGGCTTGGTCACCCACAACTGGTTTCCCTACGCAGCCTCTTTGGTTGTCCAGTTGTCCGTTCGGTTGCGATGGTTGCGTAGGCTTTTATTATTATAGATGATGGACTAGTGTAGCTCTTTATTTTTATGTTTTCATTGTTAATTTGTACTGCTTATTTGAATAAAGAGTATTCTTTTTAAATAAAAGTTATAACTAGAGACTGGAGGGTGGAGTTGTTGCAGAGAGGCCATTTGGTTCTGAACTCACTCTCACAAACAACTCAGAGATGAACTTTGGATTGTTATTTCCAAACGAGGTCACTGGGCGACCACAGAGCTCCTCCAGCCAGACTGGGAGTTACTGTTCCTCCCAGACCGTCAAGCTCGCGTTAGGATGTGGACCAGCCGCGTTTTCTTGTGATGAGATAATTCTGGTTTATATGAAAGCCATTACTGCATTAAATAAAATATTTTGTTTAAAACATCACAATTTTACAATCCTATTTTAACATTTCTTCATTAAAAAATGTGTTAGCTGCCTCTGGGGGGAAAAATAGAGCAGCCCAGACCCGTTTCCACCCGAAGCCCTGGATACAATTTGGGATTGTGGGCCAGGCTGTCAGCCGTCTGTACTTTTGGAGAGCCTGGCAGGCTGGCTGCCTGCTCACAGCCGCACTGTGCCCTCATACGGGGGTGGGATCAGGGGTGGGATAGATTCTGGGTTTGCAGGTGCATCACTAAGGCCAGATGTGGCAGCCCAACCTGGAATGGCCCTGGGATCTGGGACCAGGTGACTTCTCTTGTCCTACCTGCTCTGCGTTCTCAGCCCTGCTGTCTTCCCTCCCCCATTTGTGACCTCACATTATTCTAGAATGAGCTCCTTGCTGGACCCCTTTTCCTTCTGGACCCTGCTCCATAACGGGGCTGGGGGCTGCAAAAGAGGATGCAATGCTCTGGCAGCAGGTATGGGTTCTGGATGGAGAGAGATGCCACCTCAGGTGGCCAGGAAGGGATGCCAGCCTAACCAAGGGTGTCCTTCAACCACAAACAGCTTGCTCTAGAAGCCTCTGCCTGCTGAGAACCCCTGGATGGCAAGGGGGAGAAACCAAAGGCTGGAAAATAAGAAGGACTGAGTTGCAGAACGGGTCGCAAGCAGAAGACAGAAGGGACTCCGAGTGGGGGAAGTTGCCCTTCCACTGACCTTGGGGATAGCCGTCAGGGTGGGAGACAGAGCCTGGGCCTCAGACAATGCCTGCGGGGGTAGACATGAGGGATGCTGTGGCCCTTCCCCTCCCTGCCCCCGCCCCTACCAAAGGACCTCATAATGGGGTTCATTGCTGAGGCGGGAGGGGTATCCTAGGAAGGGGTGCAGCGGTGGGCCTGCCTGCCAGATACCCACAGGGAGCCCGCCCTTTCAAGCATGAAACATACCATCTGGGCTCCCCCACTCCCAGTGTACTCTTAGCTCTGCTGCCTGGCTAGGGTCCTGGAGAACTTCTTGGATATCATCCAGCAGCCATCATGCAAGGTGGTGCTGGGGACCGTCCTCTTACTCGGAGGTGGGAGCCTCATGCTGTGGCTTCGGAGGAGGAGGAGGAGGAGGAAGCTCTCCGCGGTGCCTCCACCAGAGGAGCATGAGCTACAGGAACGCCCCAAAGAGCAGAATGAGAACTGGATCAAATCTCACTTTAGCCGCCTTTCCGAAGAGAAGCTGGCCCCCGGCAGCAGCGTCCCCGCCCCCCAGCCTGAGACCGTCAACCGAGAGGCCAGCACCGCCTCCAGGGAGCCCTTCCCCAACAAGCAGAAGGCGCCTGGGTACTCAGGGGTCAGAGAGATCCACAAGGAGTCCTCCTCCACAGACGAGGCCACGTGGGCCGCCGTGGCTGCCACTACTAAGGAGCTTGACAACAAGGGTCGCCAGCTGGCCAACTCCATGTTGCAGCGTGCCATGGTGTACCGGAACTCCGGCCACTTGGAGGCCAAGGACATCAACCAAGAGGATCTGAAAGCCCTCCAGGAGATGGAGATCAAGCTGAAGGGCAACTTCCTCACGCAGCGGGAGACCACCGTCGCTGGTATGAACCACACACACACCTTCCATGGCCACGGTCACCACGGCCACCAGGATCATCCAAGCCACCCAAACCACCACCAGAGCCACAGCCTGCCCACCCGCAGCCACCAGACCTATCACCCCTTCGAAGCCACCTAACCACGGATGGAGACCCCCTTCCCCCCAACAAGGCTGGCTGGCTTACAATCACAGGCCTGTTTTCTCTCCTGCCGGACAACCTTTGTG